GAGTTGAGTCTTAAAGTAAATGGAGGGAGGGTATTCCAGGCATGAGAATAGAGATGGTGTGGGCAACAGCAAAGAGGCCAGTTTGGATGGTGAGGGAAGTGCAGTGCTGCTGCAGCCGGACAGAGGACTTCAGGAACACTGAGGGGCTCCTGGGGAAGGCTCCTGGCAGGTTCCCCCTGTCATAGACAGGGAGGGCAGGGAGTGTCCATTGGGGCTGGAGGGTGAGGCTGAGCTGCAAACCCCAGCCCTGGCTCCCTGGCTGACCCAGGACTCTGCCAGAGAAGGGGGCCGGTGACGCCCAAGCTCCTGTCCAGAGCTCCTGTCCAGCTGGCCTCTCCACTGTGCCTTTCCCTTCCCCTAGGTGTGACCCAGGTCACATCGGCAAGACCTGTGAGTGCCAGACCCACGGTAAGAGCAGCCAGGAGCTGGAGGGGAACTGCCGGAAGGACAACAGCTCGGTCCTGTGCTCGGGGCTGGGGGACTGCATCTGTGGCTTGTGCACCTGCCACATCAGCGACGTCCCCAACAAACTGATCTATGGGAAATACTGCGAGTGTGACAACGTCAACTGTGAGCGCTACGACAGCCAGCTGTGCGGCGGCCCAGGTGAGGCCCAGGCGTCTGCTGGTGCATGTTTGGTGAACTTGAGAGTGCTGCTCATAGGAGAGGAAAGTTAAGAGGAAAACAGAAGCAGGCCCTCAGCAAGGCTTGAAGGTGTTCCCCATGTATCCATGGCAGGTTCTGAGCCACCCCTGACGTGTGCAGCTTGCCCTTATGGGCCAAGGAGAAAGAAACCCAGGGTTAAGACATATTCATCTATTAGAGGCAGCCAGGAGGTGCTGGGCCTGGATCAAGGTAGTCCTGGGTTCAAATCCAGCCTCAGACAGGGACTAGCCATGTGACCCTGGGCAAGTCCCTTAACCTGTTTGCCTCAGTTTCCTCATCTGTAAAATGGGGATAATAACAGCATTTACCTCCCTGGTGGTCGTGAGGATCAAGTGAGAAAGTCGAGGCCTGCCCTTAGTAGGTTCTTAGTGACGCCAGCTCCTCCTCCCTCCCTCCTTCCTTCCTTTGTTTCTGCTCAAAGTTACCTTAGAAAAGGGTCCCTTACCATCTCTATAGTAATTAGCCACCTGTTTTGCACTCAGCTCAGGCAAAATTAGTGAGAGCTGATGGATTGTGGGAAGGCCTTTTGCACACAGTAGGTACTAGTTAAATGCTTATTTCTGCCCCTCTCCCTCAAGTGGGCCATTCTACCACACACAGACTAGAGTCCGGCCAGGGAAACTGACCGGGCGTGTCTGGGCTTTCAGCACGGGGCAGCTGTGACTGTGGGAAATGCAAATGTGAGGAAAAATACGAAGGGAGCGCGTGCCAGTGCGAGAAGTCCACCCGGGGCTGCCTGAACGCCCGCAACGCCGAGTGCAGCGGCCGCGGCAAGTGTGAATGCAACGTGTGCAAGTGTGACCCGGGCTACCAGCGCCCACAGTGCCAGAAGTGCCCTGGCTGCCCATCCCCCTGCAGCCTCTACATGTGAGTGAGGGAGACCCCCTCCCGAGCCCGGGGATGCACGAGGGGGTGGGGCCGGGGCTGAGTACAGGGCTGGGGTCGCTGGGCTGGGGCTGAGACTGGGTGTATTGCTGCACGATGGGGAAATCCCAGCCGGGGCTCCTTACCACACCGGCTCCTGAGCCCAGATAGGACGGCATTACTCGCACGTGGGCCATCCCCAGCTGCGTCCCAGACAGACAAGGCCACAATGTCTGTGTACTCTCTGTAGTTCGTGTGCTGAGTGCATGAAATTCAGGACAGGCCCCTTTGCCAAGAACTGCAGCGTGGCGTGTTCTGGTGTGATCCAGTCCCTCGCTCCTAGCAAAGACCACTGGTTGTGCAAGGAGCAGGCCTCGGATGGCTGCTGGATGACCTACAGCATGGACCAACTGGATGGGCATGAAAAGTACCAGATCTATGTGGAGGAAAAGCAAGGCAAGGACTGAGGCCTCCCAGGGTGCCCTGCCCTTCCCGTGGCTCTGGGGCTGCGGGGCTCACCACGGCATGGCACGGAAAAAGCCTCCGTTTCAGAAATTGGAGGCTATGGATTTAAGGGGCTCTCTGAGGCGCCTTCCACCCCCAAGGCCGTGAGGGCGTTTTTATCCTGAGAAAGTGCTAGCCATGGCCCAAGGGACAGAACCAGTGATCCCCAAGAGAACGCGTCCCCCTCACCACCCCACCACCCCCACCCCAAGGGAGAGCCATGGCATGGGAGACAGGAGGGGAGGGGGCGTGTGGCCACTCCCTCGCGGTGTGCCCCATCCTCACCCCTGGTGCTTCTGATCCACAGAATGTATAGCAGGGCCCAACATCCCCGCCATCGTGGGGGGCACTGTGGCTGGAGTCGTGCTCATCGGGGTGCTGCTGCTAGCCATCTGGAAGGTCCTGACGCACTTCAGCGACCTCCATGAATACAAGAGGTTTGAGAAGGAGAAGCTCAAGTCCCAGTGGAACAATGTGAGTGCCTGCCCGTCCCCGCCCAACTCTTAGCAGGAGCCTCAAAGGTCAGATTCCAGAGTGCTGGAGCCTTGGGCCTGGTGTACAGTGCTGTTCCCTAGGCAGCTCTTTAAGCACCTACTATGTGCTAGGAACCAACCCCCCCCCCCAGCTTGAGAGAGGGGCAGACAGGTTGCTGGGGGCCATAGCACTCATCCAGAGCAGAAAGTCTGATCGAGACAGTCTGAACAGGAAGAGAGCCCTGGTGGGGGAGATCCAGGCAGGCTTCCCTGGAGGAGGTGGCCCCTGCGCAAAGCCTGGAAGAAAGGGCCGGTAGGGCATCCCAGGCAGGGGCCACAACCCATTCAAAGGTAGGGAGACTGGAGAGAAATGCCAAGTTCAGAGAAGAGCAGGCTTGGCAGGTCAGAATGCAGTATGGCGGTACAGAGGTTGGGTCGTCAAGGGCCCTAAATGCCAGGAACAGGGTTTGGGTTAATCTGAGCAGGAAAGTGACCTGGGCTCCAAGAAAGGGGGCTTGGGTTGCTCTGGGGTGGATGGAGATACAGATTGGAGACAAGGTGAGCCACCGGCCAGATGGCTGCTGGCTACAAGTGAGGAGAGTGGCTATGTGCTGTGTGGAGAGGAGGGGATAGAGATGGGAGGTGCTGAGGAGAACGCCCTGCACACGTGCGGCCCCGGGTGGCCGGGGGAGGACCCCAGGGGGAGCCTGCCTGCCTCTCAAGACTAGGACTCAGTTTGGGTCTTATTTAACCAAGATCTGCCTCCTTGGGAAGGAGAGAAACAGTCTCCGTTCAGCTGAACAAATGCCCACCCTGGCCATGCCCACGCGGGATCTGTGTCTCCTTGTGCCCAGGAGGTGGGCAGCCCGCTCCATCAGGAGCTAAGGAGAGCCCAGGCAGAGCCAACGTGCCCGAAAGCGGGCAAGGCCTTTCAGTGTGGCCACGGGAGATGGGGGGGGGAAGCAGCAAAGGATCCGAGGCCCGTCACCAAAGGGAAGGGAGCAGGCTGGAGCTGGGGACTGGGAGCAGTCATCGGGCTGGCTAGGGAGGATGAGAGCCGGGCACTGAGCTGGCGAGGTCCTTGGTGCCCTGGGAGAGTTTCAGCCTCATTACAGGGTCAGAAGCCAGGGCGTAGCAAGGGGGTGAGAAGCGAGTGGGATGGGAAGTGTTGGAAGTTGAAGCCAACCGCCAGCCTTTGTCTGTGAAGGCGGGAGAGGTAGAGGAGGGGTGGGAGAGACCTGGGCACATTTGAGGGTGGCCGAGCAGTGGCTGCTGGAGAAGAGATTGATCCCAGGGGGCGTTGAGGGGTGGGGAGACAGACCTGGGAAGCCTCTGGAGGAGATGAGATCGGCTGCGATTCAGGGGCAGGAGAAGAGGCTCTGCCTTTGGCCTCCCCCCCACCCAGGGCCATTCCCCAGAAGAGAAGGGAAAAAACCAGTTCAAGAAAACCAACCAGCACATGGGGAGAGTTTGACATCATGTGAACAGTTCATACCTGTGGTCTCCCCCCGCCCCAGACGGTGGGAGGGGAGAGAAAGGTCTTCTCTGCCCTCTGTGAGCCCTGCCCCTCCTCCAAAGCAGCATGTGCTCTTCTGGGCCACGATACAGCCAAGCCTGTTTTCTGAACCGTTTGCCTGCACTGACCAAGTCCCCGTTCACGTCTCTTCCCAGGATAATCCTCTTTTCAAGAGCGCAACAACCACCGTTATGAATCCCAAGTTTGCTGAGAACTAGGTGGCCCTGTTCCTGCTGAAAGCTGTCAAGAGCCCCCCCTCCAATCACCTTCTGAAACAGCCACGTCTGCCCAGGAGAATCGTTGCTGGCCCTGAGGTGCCGGGCCCAGGCACTTGGCCTAGAGCCTGTAAGGTGCCTCTCACCGCAGCCCCTGAGGCCACTCAAGGTACCACTCTTGTCATTTGGACCCTCGTGAGGTTGTGACCTGGCTTGAGGACCTGCCCAGTGTCTCTAGCAGGAATTTTTTCCACCTTCCTTGAGGACCCGAGTGCTGAGCTGGACAGTTCTGAAGGTGGAAAAAAAATCACACTGAGTGTTCTATTTGATCAGGCCTCATCGCCCGGGACTCCTGCATGCCCACCTTGCCAGCCAGGGGAGTCTCTTTCCGCATCTTTGCAGTTCAGCCTACATGTCTGATGGATGTTCCCAGGGTCCCTCTGTCCACCCTGGCAGCTTCACCTGCATCTTCTACTCGGGGCCTACTTCTGACATTAAGGGGGATTTAAGCTGGTGTGGAGTTTGAAAATATGTGACAGAATGATCTAGAAATTCTAGGTTGTTGGTGCTGAAAAATGGATAGACAGATGTGTGGAAGGATGGATGGGCCTGTACCCTGAAATCTGTAGGAGCTGAAAAAGGTCGGTTGGTGATGTCACAGCATTGCAGCTACATGTGGGGGAGTACACAGACTCCCGTGACATTCCTCCATTGGGCATCTGTCATCCTTCAGTAGGTTTTATAGGCAAAGGTTGGCTGGAAATGACCCATGTCGTCTTAGGCTCCAAGGCTGGAATCCGGCTCAGTGGCTTGGTAGCAGATACTGCCTGGCAGGGTGCCCCCTTCTCCCCACAAAGCAGGTAACCGAGCCAATACAAGGATACCCTGGCTAGAGTTCATTGCGCTTCTGGTTTGTTTTTTTAACTTTTATTAAAATGCCAGCAGATTGGTCTCTGATTTCTTTTTGCAAACAAAATCATATACCTTTGAGAGCAAAGTTTAAAGGAATACAAACTCCATCCCACTAAGCACTCACTATTACTAAAGCCCACCTCCTGTGATCTCCTTTTCTCTTTCGATTCCTGGCACAACCCCCAGGACGCATCCCACCCACAGATTCCTGATGCCATCAGCCTGTGCTCCTGAGGCGAGGGCCCCTGGGCTGCCCGTCCACTCCCTTTTTGTAAGAGAACTGGTCTCTTGTCCTGGGGCCTTCCTCTGGCTGGGACATTCAGCCAGCCTTAGAACTGACAAAGTACGTGATCCGTCAGTAAACCAAGAGCTTCCCAAGTCCACGGAAGGGCGGCTCGTTGTCGTCTCTGGATTCAGGGTTAGAACAGGTTGAAACCAAGGGAGTGGGGATGGGAATGAGCTGGCATGTGACACCAGTGAATACTCAGCAGCGCCTCTGCCCAAGGTCACTCTGGGCTCCCACAGCTCTGACCCCTTGAAAAGGGGCCACAGTGCAGGGATCTGACCCAAGCCTGTGCTATGGGTACCTGCATTCCGCACACATATGCTGGTTATTTTGCTTCCTCATTGGCCACTTGGGTTTATTACAAGTCTGCCATGGGGCTTGGTGGGGGGGGGGTTGCACCCAAGGGCACACACCCGGGCATAGAGTGCACTCATGATTCTCCAGGCCCTGGGGCTGGCTGCTCACACTGATCAGGTCCCAGAGAGGGGGATGGGGAGGAGGTAGAGAGGATCTGCTGAGGGTCAGTTCTGGAGGTCTGGGCTGTCCTCATACCCCCACCACACCCTCTCTGATCCTGTTCAGAACAGGGCTGAGGCTCAGGAAAGAACTGGCACACCATGAGCTGGGCTGACCAAGCCAGTGTTGGGCCTAGACTTTAAAGTGGGCACCAGGAAGGGCCTTCCCCCGTCTAATTCCCGGACATCTGGATGCAGAGGGAGCTGTGGGCTGGGGTGATGTCAGAGGCCACGCTCTCTCCTCCCTTCTTCACTCCACTCACTCCCCAGATAGACACAATCCCCTTCCAGGCCTGGGAGCCACCAAATGTCTCTGCCCTGTTCCTGCCCGCCTCCTGCCCAGGCTGCAGGCCTGGGTGACGTCCCCCTCCCCAGCAGCCTGAGCAGATCCCACTTCAGGTGAAGCCACATTAAGCCTGTTTTGGCTGGCCCAGGGTGGACCTACTGAGGCTGCTGGGGAAGGGGGGGCCTCCCATCTAATAGGGTATGACACGCCTGGGAGCGAGGTGACCAGGCAAGGCGACGGAGGCAAGGCTGGGCGTTGTGGTGATGATGCAGCTTTGGCTGGAATCTCAGGCCCTGCAAGGGACAGCACTCTGGACCTCAGTTTCCCCACCTGTATCATCAGATGGGCTGACCTCCCCAAGGCCCTTCCCAGCCCTGAAGTACCCCAAACCTTGGAGTCCATGGTGTTTTCACCTGGAAGGACACTTCCTGTGGCCTGGGATCTGAGGACTCCTCCTGGGCACCCTGGGCTGGGAGGAAGTGCCCCCCACAAGCTCCAGGGCTCTGCCTGGAAGCAGGAGCAGGGAGGGGGGCCTCCCAGGGTTAGGGAAATGCTGGGAAATGGAAGCCCAAGCTCACTCCCTGAGACCAACCCACTCTTCCTTCCCTGGCAAAGCCCCTGAGCATCCTTCCCACTGTGGCCCAGACCAACCACCCTGCCAAGTCTCCCCTCCTGGGGATGCTGAGGCCTGCTCTAAATCGGAAGCTGCTCCCTCACCTTAGAGACCTTTCATTCTGGAGTCTAAATCTTGTCTCTTTCCTGCTTATCTCCACCTTGAAATATTTAAGAAAATGGTTCAGTAAGCACAAGGGGAAAAACACAGTGTTCTGCAGTCTCCAATGTCCTGTTGTCCGGCCCAGAGGCTCAGGAGAGACCACTTGCAGGGAGGCCATAGGAAAACCTCACTAATGTGGAATCCAAGTAACTGAACTCGGGGGACCGAGGTTTCCCGGGAAAATAAACCAGAGTGGGATGGCAGGTGCCTTCAGCTGAACTGTGTGACCTGGTCAAGTCTTAGGACTCCTCCTCCAGGGGGCCCCCACAAGCTCCAGGGGAGGGAGGCCGGGAGAGGCCTCCTGCCCACCACCACCTGGATGCTGGCCAGGGCGGGGGTTCCCTCCCCTCCCTGGACCCATAAGGTCCCAGCTAGCTCTGGGCCTGTGAACCCCCGCGGAGCAGTGAGCCTCCTGTCCCTGGCGGTATTCAAGCGGCAGCCCCAGGCCCTCTGAGACTGGGGAGGGGAGAGGGGTCGGGCCTAAAAGGGCCTGGGGTCCGAGGCTAGGAGGCTGGAGGCTCCAGGAGGGCCCTTCCGGGGGCAGATGGCACCCCGCCCGCTCCCGCGTGATGCCTCAGTCTCCCCCTCCTTACAAGGGACTCAGGGTCAAGCCGAGCAAACACCTCTCCCCTCCCTTTCCCTGTCCCCTTCCCCTCCCCCTCCCCCTCGTGGGAAGGTTTGGCGCTTGCGCGGTGACGCCCCAGCAGGCCCCGCCCACGGCCCCGCCCCACGCCTGCCCAGTAGCGACCTGGGACCGTGGCTCAGCTTGGGGCGAGAAGGCTCCGCGTCCGTCTGTGGCCGCGTCTTTGTCCTCGTCCGTGAGCGGCAGAGGCCGCAGAGCGCCTGCTCATGGAGCCCCGGGGCCCGGCTCGGGCCGCGCTGCTGGGGCCGCTGTTGCTGCTGCTGCTGCCGCTGCTCCTGCCTCAGTCCGGGCCGGCCGTGTCCGCCCAGAGCGCGGCCACTAGTAAGAGGGCGCTCCGGGAGGGGGAGGGGAGGGGGAAAGCGGAAGGTGAGCTCACTGCGCCTGCGCGAGGGAGGAAGGGCGCGGAGGGGGGCAGGAGGCGAGCCCACTGCGCCTGCGCGAGGGAAGAAGGGAGGGGAAGCCGCGGCTCTTCCGGGGCACACTGCGCCTGTGCGGAGGGGGGCGGGGCAGGCCCACTGCTCCCCTTCCCCAGCTTGTAAGCTGGCCTGCCCTTCGGCTTTCCCCTGGTTTTTGTGTCTCTCCACCCCCCCCACGTCATTCCTCGATTTTGGGGGTGTCGAAGCGGGGATTACACGGAGTCTTTAGGGATGCCCCGAGTCTGCGAGTAAGGACCTAGGGAAGGAGTGGGCTGGTACGTGGCTGCTTCTGGGGGGTCCTTGTGCCCCCCCCGCCTGCCAGTGCTTCTGGGGGTTCTTGTGCCCCTCCCGCCTGCCAATGCTTCTGAGGGGTCCTTGTGCCACCCACCCACCCACCTGTCAGTGCTTCTGAGGGGTGGTCTTCCCCTGGACCTTCGGATGCCTTCAGGTGTTGCTTTTTCTGTCTCTGGGTCTGGTGTCAAACAGACTGTGTTGGGAGATCTCCTGGGAACTTGATGAAGGGACTTCTGCGTTCTCTTTAGGCCCTTCTTGATCAGTTAACCAGTAAGCACATGCCAAAGCAAAGCCAGTCCCTGCCCTCAGGGAGCTTACATTCTAAAAGGGGATCCCCTGTGGCCTTAGAGGGAGTGTGATGATTGCTGTCTGATTTGGAAGGCCTCCAGTGTAGTGCCTCAGGCCTTGGTCCTGGGCCCTGGAGACTCAGAGGTATGGACAGCAGGATGGGGAGGGTCCAAAAGGCCTTGGGGTCAAATCTCCCAAAGTGAAATGTGATGCCGTGGGGAGTCCAAGGTCACCTTGCAGCCCTAAAGTGAATATTCTCCTCATTTATGGAGAAGGGAAACTCCCAGAGCTAGGAAGTCTCTTAAGGTGAATCCAGGCCTTGCACTTTCCACTCTCCCACCCTGCCTCTCTCCATTGGCTTCACAGATTAGAAGCGTTTGGGGGCTTTTGGGGATACAGGGTGAGCAGCTAGAAGCTCTGTGATCTTAGGCTCAGGGCCCCAGGAGGCGTGGAGTGTTGTGAGGTTCAGCACCAGCGGCGACTGTCCTGCTGTCCTCTGCTTGTCTTGTGGAAGGGGCTTTGTCCCAGAGGGCAGAGCCTGCAGCAGGGCAGGGAAGAGGCCCAGGAGCTGTCTAGACTGGAGGCCGAGGGGAAACTCCTTTACGTCCTGAACCACCCAGAGGTGGGGGGCATTCAGAGTCAGGCTGACTGGGCAGTGGGCTCCTCCTGGCCAAGGGTGAGGACTCCAGAGGCTGACAAGGGAATGGGCTGCTCCTGGTTGAAGAGTTTGGATCAGGCCAGGGGGACGTGGGTTTTGTGTGACTTTACATATTTGTTACAAGAGCTTCGTTTTTGTTTCTGTTTTTGTTTTTGTTTTCACTAATGAGCGGGGTGGGGGGAGTAGATTTTGTTCATTGAGAAAAATAAGTCCTTCAGATACTTGCTGGTTTGGCTCCTCCAGAGTCAGCCGTGGACAAAGTGCTTCCCCTCTCTGGGCCTCAGTTTCCCCATCTGTAAAACAAAGGGGCCTGAATCTAGGATTCTGTGCAAGGCAGTGAAGGCCTTTGGTGTGTGTGCCGGTCCTTGGTGAGGGGAGCTGGTGTTGATTAAAAGGTCGTGCTGTTCCTCTGGTTCTTTCTGGTTGATGCATGATTGTGGTTGTTCTCCCCAGCTTGCTCCCAGAGCAGCAACCAGTCCTGCACCGAGTGCCTGAAGAACGTCTCGGTGAGTCCTGAGAGCGTGTCCCCAGGGCCCCTCTGACTGACCGAGGGAGGGGGCTTCAGCACTCCCCAGCTCCTTCCTCTCCTTCCCTCCCCCTGACACATGCTGTCTCATCAGGACATCTCTCGTCCCTCTCTGCCTGCTCCAGCCTCCACCATTCTCAGAAGCAGCATCCCATCTCCTGCCCCTGCCCCTTTGCATAGGCTGATCCCCCCTCGGTCAGCTGCTGGGGCCCTTTCCCCAAAAACCTCCATGTGTCCACATGCACGTAGTAAACACCCCCCCCCTTTCCTTTGAGAAATGCTGGTTGGTGGGGGGTGGGGGGGTGGTCAAGTCAGTCACTGTTGGGTTTTTGCCAGCTCTTGTCCCCTGCACCAGCTGGCTTCCTCTTTGAGATTTCAGTCGAGGTGATGAGACCTAACATAGGCATCAGAGGAGCCCGTTTGAATGACTGAGGCCCGTCTGGCTCTGGGGAGAGCATGGGGGAAAGGACAGCTTGATCTGATCATTCTTTGATGAGTGGGGCAGTAACAAGCCCCCAGGACCCTCAGGGTAGTCTTGTGACAAGGGCCAGGCCCACCAGTCCAGTTCTGCTGGACCCAGGCCAGATGTCTGTGCCAGTCCTAGAGCATCCATCCCAACATTGTTCATCTGCAAAGGTGCCAGCACACTGCAGACCTCTCCCCAGTGTCAGCCCAGAGCCTCTGTGAGGTGTAGGGAGGGACATTGAGGAAATGACTTTTTAAAAAATCCTATTATTCATTTATTTGTTTGTTTTGGTGAGGGCACTTGGGGTTAAGTGACTCGCCCAAAGTCACACAGCTAGTGAGTGTCATGTGTCTGAGGCCAGATTTGAACTCAGGTCCTCCTGACTCTAGGGCTGGTGCTTTATCCACTGCGCCACCTTGCTGCCCCAGGAAATGATTTTAAAAATAACCCTGTTGGTGCCATTTTTCTGTGTGCCCCAAACAGATGTCCCCTGAGTCTTTGATCCAGCTCAGCCCTCAGGCCTCTTGTTACGCTGATGATTCAGGTTTCCCACTCATTAATTGGTCTGCCAGAGGGGGGTGCTTCCTTCTCTCCTTTGGATGGGTGCCACCCTCTGCCTGGGGTTAGACAGGAGCAGAGGCCACCAGCCCCCTCTTGGGGCAGGTTGGGACCAGGCCTAATGTTCAGCCTCTGCTCTGAGACATCACTGACCCTCCCTACCCGCACCCGGACCTCCTCCAAGTCTTGGGTCCTCCTGCTTGACCAGAAGGAGCCTTTAGGCTTGTGTCCAAGCTGAAGTAACACTTGACTTTTGATTGATTCTCTCCCACTCACCACAATGGCTGAGAAAACCCAAGGTACCCCTGCCCTTCTTGTTCCCTCTTCACTCCTCTCTTCCCCTTTACCGATTCTCTGTTCCCCCCAGCGAGGTGTGGGGCTGGCAGGTGATTGGTGAAGGGCAGTAGGTACAGACATGGGCTCCATTTCAGGAGGAAGAACAGGAATGGAGGGGGCTGCCTGAGCGGGGCTGACCTCCTCGTGCTCAGGGAGGGGCCCCCTTGGTGGGTGGGCTGGCCTTACTGGGCCTCCCTGTCTCTGTTTTCCTCTTCTCCATCTCTTTTACCTGTGTGCTTCCTGCTCAGTAGAACCGATCAGCATTTATTAAACATTAAGAGCCCACAAGGCAAGGCCCAGACAGCCACCCTTCTCCCCTGGAGCACGCCTGTCAGTGTAGGGGAAGGAGGCCCGAGTGATGAGGGAGAGAGGGCAGGAGCTGTAGGCCTGGCCTGGTCCCGTTGTAGGATGCTTGGAGAGGAGACCTAGGGAATGAGGTGGGAGCTGGACTGTGAGGAGCGAGGTAGGAAGGAGACAGGCGAGGGGAGGGGCCTGTCCTGGGGCAGGGCATGGCGGAGTGATGCTCTGTCTCTCTGTTTTAGTGCTTTTGGTGCTACACTAACAATGCCTGCCTGGACTATCCCGTCAGGAAAATCCTGCCGCCCAGCTCCCTGTGTCCACTGAGTTCTGCCCGCTGGGGCGTGTGCTGGGGTAAGTCCTCCCCTTGTCTCTGTGCTTGGTGCATCTGCCTTTGCCTATGCTTCTGCAGTCATGTTCCCATTTAATGGATGAGGAAGCTAAGGCCTTGGGTCAGGAAGTCAGGAAGTGTGGGTGGAGTGGGGTCCTGCAGGTCTGAGGTCAGTCAGTAAACATTTATTAAGCACCTGCTTGTGCCATGCCCTGGGCTAAGTGCTGGGGGGACAAAAAGAGGCAAAAGACCATTCCTGCCTTCAGGGAGCTCATACTCTAATGGGGGGGACAATAAGCCTGCACAGCTTGTGGACAAGGTAAAGAGGGAATGGCCCTGGAATGAGGAGGGGCTGGGGAAGGCTTCCTATAGGAGGGAGGATTTTAACTGGGACTTGAAGGAAGCCAAGAAACTCAGTGGTCAGAGCAAGGGAGAGCATTGCAGGCCTGGAGAGGAGAGGTGGAGGGTCTTGTTCACGCAGCAGCTGGGAGGTTGGAGGCTGAATGGAAGAATGGCTGGAGTGGGGAGTGACTCAGGGTAGGCGGGAGGGATGGGGAGCTTGCACCAGGGCAGGGGCAGACGCAAAGGAGAGCAGGGGGCATGTTGGGGAGATGCTGCAGAGGTGACATCGGCAGGCCCTGGCGCCGTTTTGGTCCTGTGGGTAAGAGAGTGAGTAGTCTGGGATGGGCTCCTAGTTTGGGAGCCTGAGGGACTGGGAGGAGGGTATTGGTGAGTCCTGTTTTAGACACGCTGACTTTAAGCTGACTGCATGACGTCCAGTTTGGATGTCTGAAAGGCAGCTGGAGAGGCAAGACTGGAGGTCGGCAGAGAGTCTGGGGCAGGAAAGGTCAATCCGAGAACCGTCTGAATAGACCATTGTTAAATCCATGGGAGCTGGGGAGATCCCCGAGGAAAGCAGTCTGGAGGGAGAGGAGGCGGGGGCCCAGGACGGAACCTGAGGGACGCCTGTGGTTAGAGGCCATGATCAGGATGGGGATCCAGCAAAGGGGGCAGAGCAGCAGCGGTCAGAGAGGGAGGAGGAGAGCCAGGAGAGAGCATGCGGTGACCCACAGCCCCAGAGGGAGGAGAAGATCCAGGAGGAGAGAGACCCACAGCGTCCAGGGCTACAGAGGGGTCGAGGAGAATGAGGACCGAGGAAAGGCCACTGAGAGATCACCGGTCACTCTGCAGGGGGCAGAGGAACGAAGGGCCAGAAGCCAGACTGTACGGGGTTAAGAAGAAAGGGAGAGGAAAGAGAGTGGAGGCAGCTGGTGTAGATGGGCTTTTGGAGGAGTTTGCCCACAAAGGGCAGAAGAGATTGTGGGACCAGAGTTATCGGGGCGGAAGGGTGAAGTGAGGCTTTGCTCAGGATGGGGGAGACATGGGCCTGTTTGTAGGCAGGAGGGAGGGAGCCAGTGGAGATGGAGAGATGGGAGAAAAGTGAGGGAGGGGGGATGCCAGGGGGCTATCTGTTGGCAGAGACAGGATGGAAAGGATCACTTGGTCAAGTAGAGGCCGCCTCCTCATGGGAGAGGGGGCGGGGAAGGTGAATGGCCACGTCCTCAGCTGAGAGGGTAGGAGATGGTAGAGTTGGGGGTCCCCTTGTAGTTGTCTGACAGCCACAGGGCTTCATCTCCTGAATCTCTGAACTTCCTGGTTGCTCAGAGTGACATCTGTGGCTCTTGGATCAGAAGCTTTTGGAAGGGTCTCCCCTTGGCTTGTCCTCAGCCTTGTCCCAATGTTGCTGGGTGCACAGAGAAGATGAGGGCCAGGGCTCTCATCTAGGTGCCCAGAGTGGTGCCAGGCAGAGACAGTCTTCCTGCCCTCCAGAACTTTCGTCTTCATGAGACCACTCTGAGTATCAGGAGATGGCAGGTACCTGTCTTATGTAGGCTCACTGGAAAGGTCTGGAGAGGAAAGGAAGGCGAATTCACACGGGTCTCCTTCCCCCTGCATGAGGCCCTGGACCCCAGGAAGACAGCTGCGGCAGGGGGACGGTCAGGCCTTGGTGCCCACCAGGCACACGATCCTGTGGGATTTACTGGCTTGCTGTCCTTGCCACAAAGTTGTGCCTCTGCCGCCTTTTCCTTTCCTGAAAGGGGAGAAGCTAAGGGGCTGCCTCTGGCCCACAGGGAAAAGCTGCCCGGATGTTTCCTAGCCACTGAGTCCAGTTGAAGCTGGCAGGTCATCAGCCTCAGGGTTACGTGAACTTGGGATTGTGTAGGAAGGACAAGTTTGGATGGAGGAAGGGAAGGGAAAAGACCAAGTAAGCAAGTAAGGCTGCATGGAAAACCCCCAGCCAAGGAAGATAACCCTGGAGGAGGGAAAGGATGCCCCTGGAGATGAGCCGTCACCTTGCACTCTTCCCTGTCCTTTGGAAGAAGGGGAGGTTGTTCTGAATAGAGCCCTGCACAAACTCCCAGAAGTGCGGAGGAAGAAAGGCCAGGCCCAGTGGCCCGTTGTGGGGTGCCAGGCTGGCTAAACCCAGGCCTAGGGCCATGGGCAGTTTCTTCCTTGATTCCCTGGTCAGAGCCCACACGTCTGCATTCATTTCAACTCGGAGAGCCCTGCAGGGGGGGTCTGGGGCAATGCCAATGCTGGCCTGCAGGGATGCCAGGGGTGTGAAAAGTTGGAAGATAGAAGGAGGTGAAGGACCAGTCCTAGAGAAGCACTACAGAAGTGGGCCCAGGCCCGGAGGAGCCGAGTCTAGCGGTGGGCCCTGGGCACCATGCCCTCTGCCTCCCTGGGGAAGGAACAGGATCAGAGATGCCCTAGTCAGAGTTGATGAGGATCTCTTACTTTGCCTCTGCTTTCTCTGCCAAGAACAGTCTTTCACCTAGCAGAGGTGGAACCGAATAGTTGACAGCTCACCTGAGCAGCCCCTGATGAGGGAGATTCAGGCCCGAGCATGAAAGAAACGCTTCTTCCGTCCCCTCCCCTCCCCGACTGTCTCCCACTGACGACTGTGATGAAAGGCCCCTGAGTCCTGCCTTCAGCTCTTCCTAATCCTGCACACAACTTGCCCGCTTCATTATGTCAGCACCCACATGAATTATTGCAGTCATCCTCAGGTTGGACTAGCCTGGGGTCAGGCTCGTCCCCGGGAGATACTTAGGATATACCATCGGCCATGATGGACCGCTGGATGTGAGCCAGAGGGTCAGGAGAAGGGGCGAGGATGCCGGGGCGGATTCAGCTGAGAAGAGCTGCCCTGCCTCGAGCGTCCGTCATGGTCCACAGGCAGGCCTCAGAGGCATCCAGAGCTCCTCGGGCCGTGAGGAAGTGATGTCCACAGCCTGAGCTGACCCAGTCTCAAGGACGGCTTCCAAATCTTTTAAGGAAAAACTAGCTCCCCTTGCGTAGGCATCCACTGGACGCTGGCCCATGCGGTGTGTGCCTCAGCTGAGTCTGCCTCATCTTTGACTGTGGAGTGAGTGGAGCTGGGCCCTGCTCTCCTGAGAGTCCCCAGGGGATCTAGTTTCACACTGGCCACTTGTCTCCCTGGATGCTCTGCTCAGGTCCTGGAGAGAGCTGCTCGCCTCCCCTTGCAGCGGCAGCAGTGACCAGGACCGGGGGCGAGAGGGCAGAAGGAAAGGCAGCAAGGATGGCATTGGCACGGTGGTGGTGGTGGTGGGTAGAGGCTTCTCCGTGGTACAGTGGGCAAAGCGCTGAGTGTAGGGTCTTGAAGATTTGAGCGCAAATCTAGTTTCAGATGCTGGCTGCTTAACCCTAGGCCAGTCATTTAACCAATCCTGTATGCCTTGGTTTCCTCAAAATGGGGATCATCATAGGGCCCGCCTCCAGTTAGTAGGCGCTTGAGAAAGGCCAGTTGCTCCTTTGCTCTGTGAGATGGTCAAGGGAGGCTGGTGAAGCCTGGCCAGAGCCCAACTCTGAGGTGGCCAGTGCTGTGCTCCAGAGGGAGTGATGAACAGCCAGAGGAGGTTGTGTTCCCTTGGCCGGCCAGCATGGCTTGAGTTACTTCAGAAATGAAGACAGAAAACATCAACTTTTTAAGAAGCTGTCTTTCCAAACCTGACCATCCTCTTCCCCTTTTCCCAGCACCCTCGCCCTTCTCCTCTCCTCCCACCTAACCCCATCCCTGCACTGCTGCTGACCCGCCCAGCACCACCTCCGAACCACCTGTCCAGAGCCACCCTTCTTACACCCAGGGGTTTGCATCGTGCCCCTGACAGATAGATGTCCCCTGAGGCCCTCCCGCTTGTTTCCATCCCTTCAGGCTTCCTCTTGTCCAAGAAACCAGTTCTGACTGGTGAAGGTCGGGCCGTGACTTGGCGCCGTTTGTACCTGTCCCTGTGCTTTGACTCCCGGGGAGCGCTTACCAGGCGAGGGCGGCGCTGTTCTCTTTGGCCTTTGTGCCTGTCCCTCATCACGTCCAGTACAGTTTGTGTGTACATGGAGGTCTCAGTCTGTGCTGCTTGTTGGAGGAATGACGGTTGGATGGAGTCTGTGGGTGAATGAATGCCTACCCTGTGGGCCTGGCGCAGGTGGCAGGTGAAAGCGTTGCCTTTCTTGGGCGCTTCCTCTAATGGCGCCTTCCCAGCGGCGTCTCTGCCCTGAGGAGTAGCTCTGCTCAGCGGGTGTTCATGGAGCAGCCAAGGCTCTTGTGGACGATCTGTGTGCTGCCCCAGGAATGTTCAGGGAGCCGCTGTCCCACGTACTGTATTTGGACCCCTGAAGACTGGAGAGCGAAAGGTTCATTTAGCCTGTTCACTTTTGAGAAGCAGCCAGGGCTCGGAGTCAGCTTCACCAGCTAGTTAGTACCTGGTGCAGTAGTTCCAACCTGCCATCGTGCTGGGTTCTTTTGTGTTGGTTTGTTGTTGTTGGTTTTTTTTTTTTTTTGGTTAGGCAGTTGGGGTTGAGTGACTTGCCCAGGGTCACACAGCTAATAAGTATTATGTGTCTGAGGCCAAATTTGAACTCGGGTCCTCCTGAATCCGGGGCCGGTGCTCTATCCACTGCACCACCTAGCTGCCCCTTGCTGGGTTCTTTTGTGAACCAGATTTTTCTCCTGATTCTTCTTTCAGAGCAGAAAGGCTTTTGGAATGTACACTTTCCATGTTCGTTTTAGTCTTCAGGCGAATTAATTGTTGTCAGAGTTTTGTAAAACTTTATACAAGTTGCTGGAACTGTTTAGATGTGGAATATAAAAGGGATAATTCAGCCTCTTTTCTGAGCCCCTCTTCTGATTGGGCCCAATCCTCGGGGGGATTCAGAGAATCGATTAAGCCGGGACAGAGTTTTCAGTCTTCCCGTGGCCTCGCCCCAATCGGACCACATTTCATGTATGAACCTGCTGGGGCGGGGGGAGCAGGGAAGAGGGTTTCTCAGCAGCATCTGTACCTGCCTGGGCCCTAAACCCAAGCACTTGGGAGCTTCTGTGATGAGGGGGGTCTGCAGTCAGCCAGGGTGTACCCTCTAATCTTCCACATCTACATTTCTAGGCCATCTTAGGAGAGTCAGTTCTGCTTTTCAGAGGGAGAGCAGGTACTGGTGGCTGCGTCATCCCTTGTCCCGATGCCCTTTTGCTGAGATCTGGCCACTGCATGAGCCTGGTGTGAGGCCCTTCATTTATTTCCCCTTCAGGGACTTGCCTCCTGTCTCTGCTCTATTCCCTTCCCCATCCATCCATGCCTGGGGGCAGATGGGACCCTGGCCAAGAAACCTATCCCAGCATGAAACTGAGCTGCAGGCTGAGCCACTGCGGCTAAGGGCATGTTTCTCAGGGGAAGTGGCTTTTTGAGCAAATCTGGGCCCTGAAGGAGACTCTGTGTGTGTGTGTGTGTGTGCGCGCGCGCATGCACATGTGACCGTAGGGTCTTTGAACACTTCCTAATCTGCCTGACCCTGAGCTCACCAGCCCCTTCTCTGCTTGCCCCGGGTGTCAGGCAGCCCTCCATACAGATACTCTGCCAGGCTCTGGGCTCCCCCAAGCCAGACATATGTAACTGTGGGACCAGATGGATGGCTGGAGACAGAAATGGCCACCTTGGGGGTGGGTGTGTGATGAGCTCAGTGCGGGGCTTGCTGGTAAGACCACCAGGGCAGAGTTCTCTAAGGCAGCTGGAGCTGGGATGAATAGCAGCAAGTATGGGTTTGCCGAGAGAGGCGATTGTCGAGGCCTGGAGAGTCATGGAGGCCAGGGAAAGCCTCAGGCCAGACACCTGCCTCCTGAGGGGTTGGCAGGGAGGTGAGGACATAGGGAAAGAAGAAGCTGGTGGCCAGAGTCTGTCCCGATGGGGGCCTGGATCCCGAGCTGCTGCTGTCTGACCTGGCCCTTTCATTTTTACAGAGAGGGAAACTGAGGCCAGAGAGGCAATTGGCCCGAGGCCATTCAGGCAGTCACCTGGAAAGAGGGAGAGGAGTCCTGGGGCTAGTTCCTTTTCTCAGAGTGTGGGGTCCACCTCGGAGTGAGCAAAGAACAGCCCCACGGACTCATTTAACCTCAGGGGCCTAGGTTTCTGCTCTCAGCCTTGTCCGTGGTCCTGAGCACCTGAGTGCTCTGGGCTTCCATCCAGGGAGCAGGTGGCCATTAGAAGGGCTGTGCAGATGCAGCCTTTCCTAAAGGCCCCAGGCCTTTCCTGTGTGGCTCTGTGCCCTTCATCGGAAGCTGTTACTTCCTGGATTAACAGCAAAAGTGTGAATGATCTGTGTCCAGAGGGGATCGGCCACACTTTAAAACCTGATTCGGATTCAGAGAACAAATTGTTTAAACTGTTCTGTAAAGGAATAAGGCCTGGAGGCCCTGAAGTCAGGAGGACCCGAGTTCAAATCTGGCCTCAGATTGAACACTCGACACTAGCTGTGTGACCCTGGGCGAGTCACTTAACTCCAGTTGCCTTTAAAAAAAAGAAAAAAGAAATGAGGTAAAATGAATGGCTACAACAAAAAAGAAACAAAATAAAAACCATAAAACAATAAACTGCACACTTGTGTTTTTTTGTTTTTTAAAGAGAATTGGCATATTACCAGCCAGGGAGTACCACGTGTGCACAGAGCTCTGACCTGGAGGCGGGAAGACCCGAGTTCAAATCCAGCCTCAGACACTTCATAGCCATGTGACTGGGCCAGTCACTTCCGTTTGTCTAAATTTCTTGAACTGTGAAATGAGGAGAATAATAGCACAGTCTCTCCAGGTTGTTGTGAGGATCAAATGAGATAATCCTTGTAGTAAGTGCTATAGAAATGGTAGCGGCTGTCATTATCGCTGACTCTCCTTTCCCCTCCCCCACATGTTGTAGAGTAGCAGTGGCAGAGACGTTCCTCGAGTGCTTTGCTTTGTGCACCCCTTCACCTCTCAGTCTCTCCGGGTTCTATGAATATTGTCACCCCCATTTTGCAGGTAGGAAACCGAGGTTCAGGGGAGACCCCGGATTTGAACCCTGCTGCTCTGCCTCTAAATGCAGTGTTCTTTCCACTGTGCCCCCTGCCTCTTATAAAATAGTGTAGATTGGAGACACCCAGGAAGGTGTAATTTTGGTCACGCTAATTTGCATGGGCTGGCGTTTGTGTGAAAAGAGGGCTTCCTTGTGGGTAATGGGCAAACCTCAGCCTAGGAGGAGATGCTGTTCTGCACCTTGTAGACACTTGCCATACAACGGATTCATCCTGGTAGACAGACTCAGAAGGGGGTTTTGCTGACTTCATTTATTTCAAGGAAAATCCTATTTCCTTCATGAGGTCTCCAGGGAAGAATTTTCTTTCCATAGCATATGGAGTTGCCAGAAAAGGGGGTGGCCTGAGGAAACCAGCTGGGGGACTTCCCCCTCCAACTGCTAGATCCCTAGTTGGGCCAGATTCTGTGTCCCTTGTGCCCCTCCCTAAGACCCCTAGGATCTCCCTCTCTGGGCTGATAGCCTTGTGCCTGAAAACCCAGGTACCAACTCTGATATCAGCCTGGAGGGATAGGCGGGAGCAGGTGGGGAGGGCTTTAAATGCCACGGAGCTTTGTCTTTTATCCTGGAGACAAGGTGGAGCTGGTCTAGCTCTGAACCACAGGGAAGCGGCATGGGCAGTCCCTCTGCTTGGGGTGTCTGGAGAGGGGAGAGATGGATTGGAAGACTCTTAATAGCAGAGGTCAGGAGCAGGTAGCCACACGAGGAGAGGAGACCTTGTGGGGATTGTCTTGACGACGCTTGGCGCCTGACTGGTTTGAGAGAGAAAGGCCAGTGACCTTCAACAAAAAGGGATGTCCAAAAGAAGGGTAAAGATCTTTTTGGGGAAAGATAATGAATTTAGTTTCAGACATGTTGCATTCGGGATGCCTTTGTGACATCTAGCTAGAAATGTCTTGAGAGAAGAGGGCTGGGGTCTTCCACATTGAACCCAGGGAAGCTTGCCTGGTGACCAGGCGGCAGTGTAGAAAGCACGGGGCCCAGGCCAGAGTTCTTGGGCATACCCACAGGTCAGGGATGTGGCATCCTGATGTTTTGGCAAAGGACAGTGAGGACCAGCCAGGCAAGGGAGTTCTTAGGAGCAGAAGACTTGACAAGGATGAAGACTGGGAAAAGACCATCGGACTTGGCGGTACCTTTGGGGAGAGCTGCTTTGGTCAAGCGCCAAGGCCAGATGCCAGCTTGCAGGGGGCTGCTCCACGAGTCTGAGGAGATGATGGCGTCTGGTGAGCTCCCGCAGAGGGAGGGGGAGGGAAGGAGCAGTTGGTCCTGCAGAGAGGAGAGCTGACAGGAGAGGCCTGGGCAGCAAGGACATCCGATGTCTCCAAGGTTGGTTCCATTCACACTACCTTGGGGCCAGTTTCACTTTACCCATCCTTATGTCCACAGTGAATTTTGAAGCCCTGATCATTGCCATGTCAGTGGTGGGAGGCGCCCTCATCCTGGGCATCACCATCTGTTGCTGCTGCTGCTGTAGGAAAAAGAGGAACCACAGGTGAGTGTTGGAGGGCATGTGGGGCAGGGGCCAGGCTGTGGCCACTGACCAGTGACCGACTCTCTCTCTTGATTTCAGCAGGTCAGACAAGGAGGAAGAGCGTGCTGCTAGAGAGAGAGAGGAGAGGAAAGTACGGCAAGAGGAAAGGTGAGGGGGGCCGTGACTCAGGGACAGAGTACCCCAGGTTGGGCTCCCATAGTACCACGGGCGGCTCTCATTCTGACATTGGCCTCTGTGCCAAGATTTGTGCTGAATAATTCACTTCTCTTTAGCCTCCAGTATTTGTAAGGACCTGTCCCTTGCCCCGGAGCCCAAGGCCCACACTGAGAAGAGGGTCCAGTCAGCTGCCAGGATCCTGCAGGCTGAGGGGCATGGGTCCAGGAAAGGGGGAGCTGGCAAGACTTGCTAGGGAGAATGTTGTAGGAAGTGAGCCTCGAAGGAAAACCAGGACGCAGGCACTTAGAGCCAGCGTCCAGCCTGGGAGTGCCCAGAGGCCGTCTGCCTTCTGTCTTGGAGGCTTTGGACAGCGGCTGGGGGATCCTTAGCTGGACTTGGGACACTTTGTAGAGGAGATGCCAGCCCTGAGGCTCTCATGGAGCTGACGAAGGCCTGACCTAGCATCTTCTAGACCAGACAGCTGACCAGAAGAAAGGCGGGGGTGACACGCCTGGAGCCTGGGCGACATGAGCTGAGAGCCCCATCGGTCAGATGGGATGAGATCCCCAGCCATCCTGGTCTGATCATCCTGGCGGTGCTCGCTCGCAGCTGTGATTGCTGTCTCTCTTCCCTATTCATTGGACATTCAGAAACTCAAGTCTTGGGGCTCTTGGTGAAACAGAGGCCCCTTTTTAAGGGGTGCTGGGCAGCGAGCAGTCAGGGAGGTGTCCACCGCGGCAGGCCTGCTTGGGCCAAGGGAGACGGGAGGCCCTGGGGGAGGGGATCTGCTCCCCTAGCTTGGGCAGGTGTATGCATCCCTTTTCCTTCCTTTTGCAGGAGAGCAGAGATGAAGTCCAGACATGAAGAAATCAGAAAAAAATACGGTGAGACCCACTTTATGTTTGTCTGTTGTCTGTTAATTCACGTGTATCTTAAGAGTCAGTGCCCTATGACTAACTATGGTGAGCCCTCTGTGGAGTGCTGCTGGGGCTTGGGAACATTTTCCCACTGGCCCCATCTGGGCTCAGAAATGTTTCCTCACTGGCCCCGTCCAGGCTTGGAAACATCTCCCCACCTGGCCCCATCTGGGCTGGGAAATATCTCCCCAATGGGCCATGTGTGGGCTGAAGAATGTCTGCCCACGGCTCCATCTGGGCTCAGAAACATCTGTCTTCCTATCTGGGCCCCATCTGGGCTGGGGAACGTCACCACTGAGCCCCGTCTGGGCTGAGGAGCATCTTTGTCTCACCATCTGGGACCTGTCTGGGCAGCTCTAGCTCTGAGTTAAGCGAGATGAGGCCCTGGTTCCCGGTCCCTGGGCCATCCATATTTGGGCAGCTCTCAGACATGCTCCTTCAACTTCCTCACAACTTCCCGCCATGTGACAGGGCACAGAGCCAGGTCCTTGTCCCTTCTCCCCTTGGCTTCCTCCAGCCCTGCTCCTTCTCTTCTCACCCCCCCCCCATAGAGGTCCCACCTGGAAGTCACAGTTGTCTGCTCATGCCCCAGAAGGGTGGCATGGATATCCCACAAGTGCTGCTCATCCCATGGTCAAAGTGACTAGACTTTTTTTTTGTATTTCTGAGGTGATTTCTGACAACGTTCAGTGTAAGAGATAACGGTACTTGCCAGATCACATTGCCACATTCCTATGTTACAAATAAGTGCACAAGTTACAAAAAGTAGCTGAGTATGTTTTGGAGGACAAATGTCTGGCAACAAAACAATTCGGTTTGTTCCTTGTAACTGGTAGCTTCTAGGACAGCCATTTCCCATTGACTCCCTGCCATATCTGCCCCCCGGGACCACTCCAAACCTCTTCCTTTCTCTTCACAATAGGAACCACAGGAAAGAAGGGGAAAAGAAAGAGCAAATAGTTTGCTTCAATCTGCTTTCAGACTCCATAGTTCTTTCTTTGGATGTGGATAGCATTTTCCGTCATGAGTCTTTTGGAGACATCTAAGGTCCTTGCATTGCTGAGAGCTAAGTCTATCAGAGTGGGTCATCGCACCACAAAATTGATCTGTGACTGTGTATGGTGTTCTCTTGGTTCTGCTCCCTTCACTCAGCATCAGTCCATACAAGCCTTTCCAGGTTTTTCCAAAGTCCACCTGCTCATCATTTCTTATAGCATGATAGTATTCCATTATACCACAGCTTGTTCAGCCATTCCCCAATTGATGGGCATCCCCTCAGTTTCCAGTTCTTGGCCACCACAGAAATTCGAGCTGCTGTAAATATTTTTGTACATGTGGGTCCTTTTCCTATCTTTATGATCTCTTTGGGATACAGCCCTAGAAGTGCTCTTGCTGGGTCAAAGGGTATGCACAGTTTTATAGCCCTTTGGGCATAGTTCCAAATTGCTCTCCAGAATGGTTGGATCAGTTCACAACTCCATCAACAATGCATCAGTGTCCCAGTTTTCCCACATCTCCAATATTTTTCGTTTTCCTGTTTTGTCATGTTGTCCAGTCTGATAAGTCTGATGTGGTACCTCAGAGTCATTTTAATCTGCATTTCTCTAATCAGTAGTGATGAGTGACTAAACTTTTCAAGACTGTGGTCTCCTTTATTCCTTAGCTCACTCACTTTCCTCCATCTTGTGTATGTTTGTGGGCGGTCATATTTTGGTGTTAAACTTTCTGGGAAATGAGAATTGTGTGGCCCTTGCCTTCATTCCTTCCTAATCTTGCTCATTCTTTCTCCACCATTTTTTCCCATGGTTGAAATTGACTTGTCTGCATGCTGGGTGCAAGATGGCAGCATTTCCAGGCTGGATGTGAATCCATTGGGATTCTCTACCCCTTGCTCCTGGTCTTCCTTTGCTCCCTCAGTGTAGAACTGATCTAGACGTGCAGGCTGGCTCACTTGGACCGGAGGGTCCAATAGAGTTGGCAGGAGACTCAAGAGACATGTCTTATTTCATACCATCATGTGTGAATCTGTTGATGAGTCTAGGCAGGGGCCCAGAAACCAGCAGGAAAAGCCCATGGTCTGGGAGATAGCAGTTGGTTTACCTGGAGTGGGCCAGACAGCTGTCAAGGGCAGGGCCCTGGGCTTGTTTGGCCTCATCTTCTCTGCCCCCCTCCAGCACCTAGAACTCCATATGGCCCTTTTGGCCATGGATCCATGTCTGCTCCCTTGTCAGGGAAGCAGGACCATGCTCCCACTCTTCCCTAAGGAGGGATGCTGGGCACCCCAAGGCAGGGCAGGGCAGTCCTTGTCTGTGGTGGCCAGAAGGGAGGAACAGGAGAAACTTGGGCAAAATGATCCAATTAGTGGGCAAGAAAAATGCCCGCTGAAGGAGGAGAGGTGGCTGTGGTGGCTTGGGGAATAGTTCCCCCCCACAGTCTTCTGTTTTCCTTTCTGTGAGCATCAGATTCTGAGCTTAGGAGCCAGATTTGGACCTCTTCCTGAATCTGGCATGGGACATGTCCTCTTCAGGGCGTGTGTTAGCTTGGTCAGGCCCATCTCGTCTGTGGAAGGTACCACGTCTAGGCATGCAGGTAGGGAGAACTCACAGTTGGCCTTTCCAAAAGGTCAACTTTTTCTTAAAAAAGACATGTTACAATAGGCGTGACCAAGCAGAGTAATCTGGGTGCTTTCAGTTTCCCATTTGGTGAATTGATTGTCATTTTAATCTTTTATTTTCAGGGCTGTTTAAAGAACAGAACCCTTACGCTAGATTCGAGAACTAGCCCTCTGTGGAGCTCCCTGCTGGCCGCAGGCGGCCGAACCTCCTCCAAGGGAACGTGGCTGCTCAGAGGAATCCTGCTTCCATTTCACATGGTCAGAAATCACATCCACATCTTCCCTTAATCCGATGCTTTCAGTAAAGAGCCTTATGTTCAAATGAGACCCTCTCTAATCCCTGATGAATTATTCTGGCAAGAGAAGCCCTTCTCCTGGGCCTGATGGAGGCGTCTTGGCTCCCAGTCAGTGTTCCTGAGGACCAAGACTGGAAGCCGTCCTCCCCCTTGTCCTCTGGGCTCAGCTGCATGCAGGAGGGGTGAGGCTGGGGGTCACCGCTGCTCTCAGCTGGCCTGCCTTGCCCCTCCCAAGTCATCCTCTGTCCTGTGCCTTGAGTATTGTTTTTTTATTTCAAACAGAGGCCTTGGTTCTGGCTGAAGTATGTAGTCACCCTTTCCATTTCATCCTTCATGACCAGACACCCATTGAAATGTGCACCGTGATTGAGAGTGCTCTGGGAAATTGTCTCATGTGCATCCCCAGAAACCACAGCCTGCGGGCTTGGGGTTATTTACTTTTCTGAAGTACGGTGGAAAGATGGCTTTGGAAAAGTCAACCAGAATTACAGAAGATTTTTAAGTATCCTGGATATTTTTTTTCTTTTGTTTTTAAGAAATTCAGTTAAATTTCCCCGGCTTTGAGAACAGCAACTGCTCCCTTGGAGTCCCAGTGACAAAAGCCAGTGCCTTCTCCAGAGGCGTGAGGTCTGCTCCTGCCTGGGGAGTGGAGCTGACCTGGGGTCTCTGGGAAGGGGCAGATAAGCAGGGGTTCCCAAGGCCGCCCACTCATCACGTTCTGAGTGGCTGCTCACATCTCTCTGAGGGGTGGAGTGGAATGTGGCCCACATCTGGGGAGGAGCGCCGGCCTTGCTCCTTTCCGTGCTGAGCAGGGTGGCAGCCCGTCGAGGCCAGACTGGGCATGGGAAGGTCAGAGCAGAGCATCCCGTTCTGTGGAGAAGGTAGAGGAGGCGCCCCCCAAAGCTAGCATTTAGTGTGACCCAAAGCCATTCTTAGTCTTCAGCAAGTTGGAAAGTTACCTTTGCACTCTTTTTAAAAACACTTTTTAATGATGTATGTAATGGCCTTACTGTGAATTAACCTTTCTACACTGAAAATCTTGGCTGTCAAGAAGCTCTTTGGCGTGAATCTTCTCTAAATTACCCGGGCCACCAAGGAAGGAGCTCAAGTAGGGGTGGGGAAGGGGCTTCCAGAGAAGCCTGTGATTAGCTGACTGCCTAGCACCATGTTAGTGTGGGCAGGCAGGGCATGGCAAGAAGAACTGACCTTGGACGGCCTAGCAAGTATCACTGTGATTACTGGCATGCATTTAACCCTTTCTTACCTAGAGGAGCCCAGATTTTTAAAGTGTGTCTGCTATATTTCTATTCTGTTTCTGTACCAAGACCAGCCTGTAGCCACAGGCTAATATCCTCACCCTTGTGAGTGCCTTAAATTTTGAGAATTTCAAATAAAAGGATTTATTATAATTTTGTGTTACCTGTGATGGGTTCTGTATTGTAAGTGTATGTACCTGTAATTAATCCCTGGACAGTGAGAGTAATAGTCCACACAGAGGGGCCAGGAAGCCCCCAGGTCCAGAACATATGTGTGCAGTAGAGTGTGTCTGGTGTGGAGGTGACCCTGGCCAGGACAGCCAGACTTTGGATCCAGCCTGGCAGCAGCACCCAGTTTAACAGGGGAGACAGGAAAGGTCAGCCCCAGGCCCTGCCCTCCAGGTGCTTCTGGTCTAAAGGGGGAGATGGTTCACAAGAAGGAGACCCTGGGTGGGTGGGAGGCCAGGAGCCCAGTTGTGGGAAGGAGAGCGCCATGTGCACTGCCCCACCAGCCCTTCTGGGACAATTCTGGCAGGAAAGTGAGAGCCCAGGGCGGGGCGGCAGGAATGAGCCCAAACAATTATCCCTTCTACTGTGAGACTTTTCCCATCGAGGTTTCAGTATATCGAGGATCAGCCTGAGAAATTAAATGGAAATTTGGGGAGTGCTTTGCAGAAGCCACAGACGGCATGTGAAGGCTAGTAGACGACTCGGGGCCTATGACCAAATACTTAAGCCAAGTTTTATAAGAAGGTACCGTAAACACCGCATGAAAGAGAAAAATCAGACTTTCTCTCTGCTACAAAGGGAGGGAGGGAGGGCCCAGAATTTTTACACAGATTTTCCTGATCTCAGGGGTAGCACGCCCTTCACCCCTGAGATGGGGAAGGGATAACATAGGGAGCATTTCCGTTCCACTAGACGCCAGGCTCTGTGATAAGCTCTACAGATAGCTGGTCCTCAAGTTGACCTTGGCAGGTGGTTTCTCCAGTGATCCCCGAGGAAAGTGGATGGAGGCTACATGCCTGGTTAAGTGTCTGGGCTCAGACTTGCGCTTGGCTCTCCCTGGCTGGGGTTTTAGGCCCTGCGGTGCCTGTTTGTTACCTGGGCTCCGTCGCTGACGTGGGGTCATTCAGTGAGCCTGACTCTGCTCATAGACTATGGGGTGCCTCCTGTCAGCTGGCCAAGCCCCCTCTGCCTTTGCACCCTATGCCCCCGAAGTGGCCCTTGCTCCTTCCCGTCCTCAAGCTCCGGGCCAGAGCTGCTGCTCCAACCCTTTGGCAGACGTCTGCACCTCCTTCCTTTGGTGACCTGTGCCCCAAGTCTCCTCGGGGCTCCTGTCCCTCTGGTTTTTTCTTAGATCTTCCCAGTCCTGAGAAACCAGCATCCTCTCTCTAGCAACCACACTCACTGAAAAAATAGTCTGTGCATTTGTGATTAGGCCCTTCCCTTCCCGTACCTACATCAACCCTGCTGTCCCTTGCTGTTCACCCTGATGGCCTCTGTCTCTCTGGGCTCTAGCCAAGGGAGTGCCTTGGGGATCTCTGCTTGGCCCTACGCAGGATGAGAAGCGTTCCCTCAGTCATTAGGCTGGAGATGGCCTCTCCACCCTGGGAGGGAAGCTAACACTGCATGGCAGGCAGAGTCCAAGAAGATGGAATTCCGTAAGAGTGAACAAGGACTTTCCCGTGGAATCAAAAGGGAATTCGAAAGTACTAGAAGGGGGCAGTTTGTCTGAAGGGGACTGACCACAAGGGTGGTCAGTATGGGTCAACAGAGTGAACATGGCAGCTAAGAAATCAAATGCATTCAAAGAGAGGCCGCCTTGGACTGGGCCTGGCCTACACACTAGCAGGCAGAGGAGAGAAAAGCCGTTCATGAGCTCCACCCGAGGCTGGCCCCTAGTGGTGGTAGTGACCACACACTGGAACTCATTCTTGTGTTTGACGAGCTGCCATCCGTCAAACCTTCCCCATCTGAGTGATTTTTTAGTGGTTATTTAAGCCCTCACCTCCTTCTGCTCCTCGAGCCCTTCACAACCTGGCCCCATCGTCCCTTTCTAGCCCTATTAGATGGGACTCCCCTATTTGTTGTTCCTTTGTAACATACAACACGCCTCCTCCACGTCTTGGTGGCTGGCCCTGCTTGGGCGTCGCCCACTTGCTTGGCTAAGCATCCATCAAGCACTGATGTGCTGAGCACCGGGGATGCAAAGAAAGGCAAAACACTGTCCTTTCCCCCAAGAAGCTTGTGCTGCTCTTGGGGAGCCAACACAGATAAAAGTGGTTTTGTCAAGTAAGGGAAAGGCCCTGGAAACTGGGAGTGGGGGAAATAGGGGAGCAGGAGAATGGGGTGCTTGAGCCAGGGGCTCTGAGAGTCAGAGTTGGGACTGAAAGCATTCTAAACCTAGGGGATGGCCATGGTACTTAGACAGGAGATAGAGTGCAGGGTGGGATTGGGAAGTATGGGGGGAGGAGACAAAAAGTAGACTGTAAGTCCCATCAATCCTGGAGGTAACAGGGAGTCTAGGCCCCAGAGGTGGGGAAGGGGAAGGGGCTTCATGATCAGGTGTGTGTCAGGAAAATGGCTTGGGCAGCCGCATGGAGGGGCTAGAGCAGGGAGAGACCACTACCCCCACTCCCTCCCCCAGAGCTGGTCCAGGCATGAGGTAATGAGGACCTGCGTCGGTGCTGAATATGTGAGTGAAGAGAAAGGAACCCACGTGAGAGATGTAGAGAAAGAAAGAATTCGCTGGATATGGGGTGAGTGCAGAAGAAGGACGGTGGCAAGGCTGTGAGCCTGGAAGAAGGAGAGCAGGGGGTGCCCTCGGCAAGAATGGGGAAGTTCGATTTGTTACCCTTGTTAACCTTTGCTTTTTAAGATTTCAGTTCCAAATTCTCTCTGCCACGCCTACCCAATCCTCTGAGAAGGCAAGCAACATGACATCAGTTATTTGTGTGAAATTGTGCAGAACATTTCCATGTGAGCCACATTACTGAAAAGAAAGAAAGAGGGAGAAAAGTGTCCTTCTACTTGCCTCAGTTCATCAGTTCTTTCTCTGAAGGTGGAGAGCATTTTTTCATCGTGAGTCCTTTGGGATTGTCTCAGACCATTGCATCAATCAAAGTAACTGCCTCTTTCACAGGGGATCATCACTATGATATCGCTGTTCCTGGTTCTGCTCCCTTCATTCAGCATCAGTTCACATGAGTCCAAGTTTTTCTGAAGTCCTCCTGCTCCTCATTTCTTATGGAACAGTAGTATTCCATTCCATTCATATACCACAAGTTCAGCCATTCCCCAGTAGATGGGCATCCCTCAATTTCCAGTTCTTGGCCACCACAGAAAGAGCTGCTGTAAATATTTTTGTACCTGTGAGTCCTTCACCTTTTTCTTTGATCTCTTTGGGATACAGACCTAGGAGTGGTATTGCTGGATCAAAGGGTATGCCTGGTTTTATAGCCTAGTTTGGGCCTAGTTCCAAATTGTTCTCCAGAATGCTTGGACCAGTTCATAACTCCACCAACAGTTTATTAGCATCCCTATTTTTTCCTCATCTCCTCTAGCATTTGTCAATGATAGGTGTGAGGTGGTACCTCAGAGTTGTTTTAATTTACATTTCTGTAATTAATAATGATTTAAGGTATTTTTCATATGACTATAGATAACTTTGATTTCTCTTGAAAGCTGCCTGTTCACATCTTTTGACCATTTATCAATTGGGGAATGGCTTTTGTTTTTATAAATTTGACTCCATCCCCTATATATTTGAGAAATCAGTCTTTATTAAAGAAACTTCTGGTAATTTTTTTTTCTGGTTTCTAATCCATTCTGCTCTCTGCTTCTGTTTTGTGGGTGAGTGCATCCCATTCACATTTACAATTATGATTACTGTGTATTTCCTTCCATCTCATTTTCTTCTATTTCTTCTCTCTCTTTTTATCCTGTCCCTCCTCAGAAGTCTGTTTTGCTTCTCACTACTGCCTCACTTAATCCACCTTCCCCTTCACCATCTCCCTCCATCCATATCTTTTATCCAGTTTCCCTCTTATTTCCCTATCAGGTAAGATCAATTTCTATACCAACTGAATATGTGGATATATTCTTGTTTCAATGAGAGTGAGTTTCAAGCATTACCTACCACCACCCTCTTTTCTCTCTTCACTGTAAAAGCTCTTCCTTGTGCACCTCTTTTATGTGAGAAAATTATTTTACCTTATTTTACCTCTTCCTTCCCCCCTTCTCCCAGGGCATCCTTCTTTCTTACTCCTTCACTTTTTTTTGCATCTTCCCAACATAATTGACTCCACTCATGCTCTCTGCCTGTGTAGACTCCTTCTAATTGCCCTGATAGGGGTAGAGTTCTCAGAAGTTGCTTCTATCATCTTCCCACATAGGACTTTAAATAGTTTAACTTTCAGTCTCTTATGATTACTCTTTCATGTTTACTTTTTAATGCTTCTCTTGAGTCTTGTGTTTGAATGTCAGATTTTCTATTCAGCTCTGGGCTTTTTCATCAAGAATGATTGAAAGTCCTCTATTTAATTAAATATCTATTTTTTTCCTCTGAAGGATTATACTCAGTTTTCCTGGGTAGGTGATTCTTGGTTGTAATCCTAGCTCCTTTGCCCTCTGGAATATCATATTCAAAGCCCTCTGCTCCTTTAACATAGAAGCTGCTAAATTTTGTTTGAACCTAATTGGCTTCATGATATTTGAATTCTTTCTTTCTGGCTATTTGTAATATTTTTTCCTTGCCTAGGAGCTCTGGAATTTGGCTATAATATTCCTGGGAGTTTTTATTTTGGAATCTCTTTCAGAAGGTGATTAATGGATCCTTTCCATTTCTATTTTACCATCTGGATCTAAGATATTGGGGCAGTTTTCCTTGATAATTTCTTGAAATACAATGTGTAAGTTCTTTTTTTAAAAAATCATGGCTTTCAGGTAGTCCAATAATTATTTTTTTTTTCAGGCACTTGGGTTTAAGTGACTTGCCCAGGGTCACACAGCTAGTAAGTGTCAAGTGTTTGGTCTGAGGCTGGTTTGAACTCAGGTCCTCCTGACTTCCGGGCCAGTGCTCTATCCACTGTGGCACCTAACTGCTTCTAGTCCAGTAATTCTTAAATTTTCTCTCCTCAATCTATTTTCCA